ATCCGGGTGAAGAGTCCAGAGAAGATGCTGAGAGGAGGCAAAGCAAGGTACCAAGAAGAGGAGGCCAGGCTGGAGTCCTTTGAGCACTGGCCATTTTATGCCCATGGGACATCACCACGTGTACTGTCAGCAGCTGGCTTTTTCTTTACAGGTAAGTGGATTCCATTTTGTGAGGTGTTTCTGTGGCATTTAAAATTTAGGTTTCAGATCGATCTAAAATGGCGACTGTGGAACCGGAAACCACCCCTACCACTAATCCCCCACCTGCGGAAGAGGAAAAACCAGAGTCTAATCAGGAGGTTGCTAACCCAGAGCACTATATTAAACACTCTTTACAGAACAGGTGGGTACTCTGGTTTTTAAAAAATGATAAAAGCAAAACATGGCAAGCAAACCCTCTATTGATTTCTAAGTTTGATACTGTTGAAGACTTTTGGGCTCTATACAAGCATATCCAGTTGTCTAGTAATTTAATGCCTGGCTGTGACTACTCACTTTTTAAGGATGGTATTGAGCCTATGTGGGAAGATGAGAAAAACAAGCCAGGAGGACGGTGGCTAATTACATTGAACAAGCAGCAGAGACGAAGTGACCTCGATCGCTTTTGGCTAGAGACACTGCTGTGCCTCATTGGAGAATCTTTTGATGACTACAGTGACGATGTGTGTGTGTGGAGCTGTTGTCAGTGTTAGAGCTAAGGGTGATAAGATAGCGATACGGACTACTGAGTGTGAGAACAGAGACACAGTCACACACATAGGGAGGGTTTACAAGGAAAGGTTAGGACTTCCTCTGAAGATAGTGATTGGTTATCAGTCCCATGCAGACACAGCCACGAAAAGCGGCTCCACCACTAAAAATAGGTTTGTTGTTTAAGAAGACACCTTCTGAATATTCTCACAGGAGACTGCGTCACGCAATCGAGATTGGGAGCAGAACCAAAGCCTCATCAGAGTGGACTGCACTGAAGTTGATTCCATCCAAGTGTTGCTAAGATATAAGAGAAGTCTCATTCGCCTTTATCTTGTACTTCTGTGTTCATTCTCCTCTCTCACTCCCAGTTTTTGCTAGTGTGTCCACTATCCCAATCAAAGAATTACAGTATACATCACCCCGGAAGCGCAGATGTGTTCCTGGCCTGCTCTGTAACAGCCGGTTAGAATGACCATGACACACACATTTGCCTTTCCACAGTATTTGAGAAAGAACTTGCGTTTCTATTAGCTTAGCAGGAAAAGATCTGGTTTTGTTCCACTCCACGCAGGAGTGGATTTTGCTGGTGTGAGAGTCTGAGTACAACTTTCTAGCAACCTTCTGTTTCCTTTCACAGCATTCTCCTTGCTGTCCTCTTGCTGATGGCTGGTAGATTTTAATTTATTTGCTTCCCTCCTTGATAACATTAGTGATTCTGATTTCAGTTTTTCATTTGTTTTGCTTTTGTTTTTTTCCTCATGTAACATTGGTGAAGGATCCAGGAATATGACAGAAAGGTGGAATAAACATTAAATTTGTGCGTTCTTTGGTAATTTTTTTGTTTTTTGTAACTTCAAAGCTTTGCTACAAATTTATGCATTTCATTCAAATCAGTGATCTATGTCTGTGTGATCCCTAAACATAATTGTGGACTATAAAAATGTAACACCATAATTACATTCCTAACTAGAATTAGTATGTCTGCTTTTGTATCTTTATGCTGTACTTTAACACTTTGTATTACTTAGGTTATTTTGCTTTGGTTACAATGGCTCAAGTAGAAAAGCCGTCCCATCTATATTAAGACAGTGTACAAAACTGTAAATAAAATGTGTACAGTGAATTGTCTTTAAAAAAATAAAATTTAGGTTTCATTTTGTGGGCAATATTTTGTTAATGAACCCTCATTGATGAACTGTGTTATATCATACATAAGATGAGTTGCATTGAATTTCAAGTGTAACAATTTTGCTTCTGTTTTAATATATTTACTGTAGCATTATTAATTTGCTATTTATTTGAACATACACACACACACACACATGCAGACATATTTGCTTGTGTATACGTAAAATGTTATTTTTATTCCTTAAATGTACCATCAGTGGGCTGAGGGTATAGCTGAGTGCTAAGGCACTTCTGTAGCCCCTAGAAAGAACAGGCATGCTGGAGTCTGTCTTGTTCTGACAGTATGATCAGCTCCAAGACACAGTTGGTGCCATTGCTAGACAGTCAATCCCTTTCCTGCATCTGTAGGTAAGAGGGACACTGTGCAGTGTTTGTCCTGTGGTGGATGCTTGGGAAACTGGGAAGAAGGAGATGATCCCTGGAAGGAGCATGCCAAGTGGTTCCCCAAGTAAGTGGATAAAGGTTTGTTTGTTTTTTTTAACAAATCAAAATAACTCTAGAGACAAAAGAGCCACATTGTTGGAGTGCTCCCTTGAATCCTTGCTCTTTCTCTTATCCAATATGAGATCACCCTAGAATTTTTCACGTGAGGAAAGTGACAAGTTTGATTCCAGGCAGTTCCTTTTTTCTTCTATTTTAAAAGTTATTTTGCTTTTAGTTTAAATATACTTGTGCGTGTGTACATGTGTGTACTGCAGGTTGACCCAACGTGTCTTCTTTATCACTCTCAGGGATCACTGAACCAGAACTCATAGATTGGCTAAACTAGCTGGCCAGTGAGCCCTACGACTGTCCAAGGACTAGGGTTAGAGAAGTGTGTGATCATACTCCACCTTTAAGTAGATTCTGGGATTCAAACTCCAGAACCTCATGCTTGTGCTGAGGCACTTTCTCCACTAAGCCATCTATTAATTATTCCAAATACTAAGATGCATTGTCAAGCAGCAGTTGTGTGACTTATCCTAACTAATAAATGAGTTAGTCTGCACAGGGCTGGAAATGGTGTATAAATGAAAGAAAGCAAGAACAGTTAAGGCATTGCAAGTAGTATCACATACTGCAGAATATGCACCAAATTCAAAAGCTTGCTCAGTGCAGTGGCACTCACCTGCAATTCCAGCAAAAGGAAGGTGGACACTAGAGAGTTAAGAGTTCAAAGTCACTCTCTGTTAAAAGGTGAGAGTATCAGGTAGGTTCTAGGCTGCCCACAACATAGTGCCACAAGAGAACAGAGGTTTTGTTTCAGAGTTACATCCACAGAGAAGAAGGAGGAGGGGTGAGGGGGTTGGGGGTTCCTGGGTGGGTGGGGGATGGGGTAAGGGGACAACATAGGAAATGTAAATAAAACATCCAATAAAAATTAAAAAAAAAAAGAAAGAAAGAAATGTTGAGGTGGGAATGATGGCACATGCCTGTAATCCCGGGTCTGTGGAGGTAGATGCAAGAGGATAAAAAACTGAAGGTTTTTAGTTTTGTTATTTAAAGAGCCCAAGGTGAGCCTGTGCCACGTAGAATCCTATCCCAAAAGAAAAAAAAAAGACATTGAAATGTTTTTAAAGCAAGTTGATTTATTATAATATTTTTAAAAAGAATTGATAACCCCAATTCACTGTAGTCCACCCCATGTTCTGTGTCCTGCATGGGTTACATTCAGGCACACTGTAGTGCAGGGAAATATATGAAAAATGTAGCCAGGATCCCAGGATGCCACAGAAACGGAGTGGAAGCCTTTGAGAATATTTGAGTTATGTGATAGAGTTCATCCCCTCATGAGAATATAAGAAAAAGGCTGGTCTTCCCTCCATTGAAAAGAAAGTTCTCATCCCCTTACCACAGCATTAGAAAGGACATAAGTATCAGTTAGAGGAATATTGTTTAATCTTAAAAGTAGCTTTAGGGACTGGAGAGATGGCTTAGCAGTTAAGAAGAATACTGATTGCTCTTCTAAAGGTCCTGAGTTCAATTCCCAGCAACCATATGATGGCTCACAACCATCTGTAATGGAATCTGATGCCCTCTTCTGGTGTGTCTGAAGATAGCTACACTGTATTCTTACACATAAAATAAATAAACTTTTAAAAAATTGCTTTGTTTTTATGGAAAAGGAATGCATTTCAAGATGATATTCAACATATTTTATAAAAAATGAAAACCAATAGATTAATATGTTACTTTAAAAATTTTCATGACATTTTTGTTTCATAGGTGAATTATGGTACAACTAATCTTCACATTGATCCATTTTCTGTCCTTGATTGTGATCTGACCATGGGTACCAGGGTTAGCCCCCCTCAGATGAATCAAAATGACAAAATATGGTTTAGGGAAACTGACAGCAGAGAGCCATAGTATAGGCTTGTACTACTGCTGAGGCTGATGTAGGAAGATTGCTTTAGCCCAGGCAACACAGGGATACCTCATTTAAATAAAAACAAAAGTAATCTGAAGATTCAAGTTTAAAAAGCTACATGTGCTGTCATTAATATAAATAAATTGTTCTATCAGAACACTTGTAATTCTCATGTGTAAGGTGAGTTTTTTAAATTTTAATACCATAAGTTTGATCATGCTTCCCCCCCTCCTCCAAGTCCTCCCAGATCTTCCCCATTTCCTACTCAGTCAAGGTCATGTTCTTTCTTTTTCTATTTCAACACCCTCCCTAACAAACACACTTGAAAATCAAAATAATCTGCCGGGCGGTGGTGGCTCATGCCTTTAATCCCAGCACTTGGGAGGCAGAGGCAGGCGGATTTCTAAGTTCGAGGCCAGCCTGGTCTACAGAGTGAGTTCCAGGACAGCCAGGGCTGCACAGAGAAACACTGTCTCAAAAAAAAAACAAAAAAAATCAAAGCAATCAAAAAACAGTAAAATAAATAAATAAATAAAGAAACAAACAAACAAAGAGAGGAAGAGAGAGAGAAAGAAAGAAAGAAAGAAAGAAAGAAAGAAAGAAAGAAAGAAAGAAAAGCATACAAAAATAATGTGGAGTTTGTTTTGTGTTGGCCAACTATTCCTGGGCATACGGCCTGTGCTGGAGTGCATTGTTATACCCAGTGACGTGCCACTGGAGAAATAAATCTTCCCTTTATCAATAGGTATCAGTTGGAAATAGTTCTTGGCTAGGCGTGGGGAACCTGTGTCTACATCCACTTCTCACTGCTAGGGGTCCATCTGGCTTGGACCTGCTCAGGTCTTGTGAAGGCTATTGGAGCAAGATTTTTGTTTTGTTTTGATTTGTTTTTATACAGTTTTAGTGATATATAAAGTCCAATAGCTCAATAGGTTTTATCAAATGTTCATTGCAATGTGAAACATCTCTATTTATAGGGATATATTTTAATTATATTTTTAATTATAGATGTGAATTTCTTCAAAGTAAGAAATCCTCAGAGGAAATTGCCCAGTATATTCAAGGCTATGAGGGATTTGTTCACCTAAAGGTAATTTACACCATCCATTTTTTTCCAATAGTATATGTTCTTTATCTAATAATGTCTGAATTGTCAGGGTGAGGGGTTTTGTTTGTTTTGTTTTCCAATGGATTCTGTGTCTTTCTCCCTTTTTCTTGCATCTGGTTGGGCGAAAGGAAAGCAAAAATGTTGTTGTCTTATTAAGCTGGAACTACCTAGACTTGGTTTTCAAGGCTTGCTGTGAGTGGCTTCTGCCTCCTTTATCTTCCTTCTGACTGGGGCCACTCCTCTAGCATCCTTCTGAAGTCTCCATCTGGATGGCAGACTCAGTCCTCCGTGGTACCTGGCAGAGGCAGGACACTCAGGATGCCTCTTGAAGCTGGGTATTTAGACTCAAACTAGTGAGGACATCCTAGTGGTGGGCAGAGGGAAACACAGCCCAAACTGAAGCCAAGGAGACTGCATTGGCTGACTGACTCAGAAGCAGCATCTGCAGACAGCAGGGGCTGAAAGTTTGGGTGCAGTTTTGTCAGAGGGAGAGTTGCTCAATGGGAGAGGCCCTTCTGAGGTGAGCCCCCTTCCTGTGTCTCAGTTCTTCATGAGTCAAATACATGTGTGTGTGTAACTGCAGTTCTGTTGTTGAGCTGGGTGTCTGGTAAGAGTGGCCCTGAGAAAGTTTCCATTTCAGTGATGTTTGGAACTGCATAAACATTCCCCAAATCAATAAAAGTCAAACCAAAGTTAAAAGACTGCTTTGCTGAAGTTCTGCTGTTCTATTGAAACCTGGCTTCAGTGGGGGAACTTCTTCAGTTGCAGCTCACAGATAGGTGCATAATTTATAAGTTAATCACTTGATAACAAAATTTCTTTCTTAAGGGAGAACATTTTGTGAATTCCTGGGTCAGAAGAGAATTATCTATGGTATCAGGTAATACCTCAGACACATTCCAAACACTGATTGTTTCTCTTTCTTTTGTGTTCTCTCTCTCTCTCTCTCTCTCTCTCTCTCTCTCTCTCTCTCTCTCTGTATGTCACATGTATTCAAGTGCTTTTGGAAGTCAGACAAGGGGATCAGGTCCCTTGGAGATGGAGTAACAGGCATTTGTGTACTGTCTGGTGTGGATGCTGGGAACTTAACTCCAGACCTCTGGAAGATCAGTCTGTGCTCTTAACCACTGAGCCATCTCTCCAGCCCTTCTTTAAAACTTATCTTCATAAGTGATTTCCTTATAGTGGAATGACTTTGTTTTGTTTTTGTTGTTACTTTATGAACAGGAGAGATGGTTCAGTGGTTAATGCACTTGCTGCTCTTGCAAAGGACTCAGGTTCAGTTCCCAGCATCCTCTGGCAACTCACAATGCTGCAAGTCCAGTTTTAGAGGACCCAGTGTTTTCCTCTGACCTGCGTGTCCACTGCACATGTGTGGTGCAGTCAAACATGTAGACAAAAATAAAGGTATTTTTAAAAGTAAATTAAAAAATATACACTCATTTACTCATTATTATATGTGTATGTCCATGGGTCCTGTGTGTGAGTGTGTGAAAGTCAGAGGATAACTTATAGGAGTTGGTTCTCTTCTTCCTTGACAGAATTAATCAAAAGATTATTAGGTTTAGTGGCAAGCATCTATACTGTGGAGCTGTTCATTAAGTGGCTTAGATTTTAGCCTAGGTAAACATTACTATGTAGTGTTGGTGCTGCAATGGATGCTTCCCTTCAAACAACTAAAAGTTTGAATAAAATGTTTTGGAAGCAATTCTTAGGGTCACTCTTATCCCAGTTATTGAGTTTGGCCTCAAACTCAAATGAACCTTGAACTTTTCTTCCTCCTGCTGAGAGCTGAGATGGAGCTTCACAGATGGTGGGAATGGAGCCAAGGCGATTAGGAGAGCATGCTACCTATTGAGCTACATCTTCAGTCCTCAAAGGCATTCTTAAATGGCTTGATAAACTGTTAAGAAATTAAGGAATATTTGAAATAAAATGAGGTGACACGTCTGAGGATCTTACTGGCTTGCAAGGTCTTCTGGTTCTGTTCTAGCACCAATGGAAAACAAAACCTTAGTGTTAGAAATTTAGGTCAGTAGAGCATCTACACAGCAGGTCAGACAGGCTCTGAGTTCAAGCTTAGCAGAGATCAGGGACATGGGGACAAGGGAGAGTGGGCAGTATGGAAACAATCATAATAACAGTAAGAATTCTATGACAGACTGAGTAGGATTGCTCACCCCTGTAATCACTGTTCTTGGACGGAGGCACTTATGACCAGGTTGGATTATGATATTGGGTTAGAGGCCAGTATGGGTTAGTGCTAGTACAGAGGTCCATGCTGTATTCTCAGCACTAAGAAAGTTGAGGCAGAAATATCAAAAGTTGAAGGATAGCTTACTACCCAGCAAATCATTGTGACCCCCCCTCCCAAATAAACTTGGGGTTGAAGGGATGTCTCAGATATTAAGAGTATTTGTTGTTCATGCAGAGGACTTAAGTTCATTTCAAAGTGTCTACATAGTAACAGCTTACAACAATCTATAACTCCATCACCAGGGGATCTGACATCCTCTCTGGCCACCTGAGGCCCTAGGCACACATACGGCACACATACATACATATAAGCAAAACACTCACACATACATATGTACTTCAGCATATGCACAAGTGTGCACACACACACATACATATATTCACATACAGATAGTATCCTGGCTGGGACCACCATTTTTCAGTACCTTGCTAAAATAAGAAACACAAAGGGAAAAAGGAGAAGCAGCCAGTGTTTGTTTTCTAGGTCTTTGGAAGGCAGAGCTGTTTCTTTGGCCCCATATGCAAGGGTCTACAAGAAGGGTTATATTGTAGACATAGGGAATGGGTTCTTCTTCCAGGATGCTCATGAATCTTACCATAGCAAAACTGGTAGAGCCTAAAGGTTACCCAGCATGCTCTTGCCATTGTCAAACAATCAAGTTCAGGGCAATCCCTGGGCAGAGACTGATTGAGTGCATTGAGCATATATTAGGAACTCTAAAAGTCAGGGCTGGGGCATTGAGTGCAGAGTGCTTGTCTTGCAAACACAAGGCTTTGCATTCTGTCTCCAGAATGCATGTGACAACAGCAAGGTATCATTGTTGTACATTTGTGATCCCAAGCTGGGGAGGCAGAGACATGGATCCTGGGCTTTCACAACCTAGCCTGGGAAGTGAGACACCCTCCCTAACAACCAGGGAGAAACAGTGAAGGATGTCCTCCGACTTTTCAGAATGAGGTCATTTCCCCTGTGGCTTGCTTAAAAACAATGGTTTTGATGGCTTGATCTTTGAGATGACCACCTTGGGGGCAGGGTCTCCATTAGACTTTCTAGCTCATCCTACCGTCTGGACACTGGTTCCTGCATTTCCCATGCTGTAAGGACTTGAAAATTACGTTGCCTTACCTTGTTCTCACAAGTATGAGTCCATACATGCACATGCACCGTCATACACATAAACACACACAGAATAGTAAGTCCAGAGACAGCTTCCTGAAATAGGTAAAGAGATCAGGTAAAGACGGAAGCCAAAGAAAGAATGAAGTGCTAGCCTGCTCCAACCAGAGAGCACCCTGTGAGCACTAAGGAAAACTGTAGAACCTAGTCCCTATGACCTTCTGGCTTAATAGAGGTTAAACCTAAAATAAAATACAGGTTTTCAGACTGTAAAAATCTTTTTTGTTGTTAATTAAATTCAAATGTAGCTTTCTCTGTGCTGAAGAAATACTTAAAGCAAAAAGGAAAACAATGGTCACCTAGGGTTAAGGGTGAATACAAACAAGGTTTAAACTTGAGAAACTTGTGAGAACAAGGTAAGGGCAACGTAATTTTCAAGTCCTTACAGCATGGGAAATGCAGGAACCAGTGTCCAGACTGTGGGATGAGCTAGAAAGTCTAATGGAGACCCTGCCCCCAAGGTGGTCATCTCAAAGACCAAGCCATCAAAACCATTGTTTTTAAGCAAGCCACAAGGGAAATGACCTCATTTTGGAAACAAGAACCATCTCTTGATTTTGTTATATCCCAATGCTACATGATTAAGGTACAGTCTGAAGTTACATTTTAACATACTGAGATCACACACAGAAATGAAAAGAATGAATTCATGGAGTAATCCATTCTTTGCCACTTTGATCCTTCAGTTCTGACTGGGTCACTCTTGTATCTTTTCCTCCTTTCTGCTTTTCTAACCACTTGAAGTTATTTTGAGGCAAACACAGGTCATGAGATCATTCAACCTATGGGAACACACACACACACACACACACACACACACGCACGCACGCACGCACGCACGCACGCACGCACAGCTAACTTAAACTTTAATGTCAAAGCCTGCTGGTCTCACTTGCATCCTTTTTCCCAAGCTTACTGCAATGACAGTGTCTTTGCTAATGAAGAACTAAGGATGGACACGTTTAAGGACTGGCCCCAAGAATCACCTGTGGCTGTTAAAGCTCTGGTCAAAGCAGGCCTTTTCTACACAGGTGAGTCAGATTTTTTTTTCTTAATGTTTATGTGTGTGCGTGTTTGCCTGCACGTAAGTATGTGTGCCACATGCCCTCATGGTGTCTTCAGAAGCCAGACAGTGTGTTGGATCCTGGGACTGGAGTTACAATTGGCTGTGAGCCATCATGTGGATGCTGGAACCAAACCTGTCTCCTTTGCTAGACCAGCACCTGCTATCATGTTGAGCATCTCTTTAGGGTCAGATTTAGTGTGGACCACATATTCGAATCCTCTTACATTTTTCTGTATTCTTCATCATTTGTCATAGATCTCTTTGGGGCTTGTAAGACATTCAGTTTCCCATAGCTCCCACAGTATTCAGATGCTGAACCTGGGGATTCTGCAGACACTTCATCCAACAGACATACTCCACTGGAACAGATGATCTTCTTATCACATGGTCTTAGTGCTTGTCTCCTCTTGCCAGCCTTCCTCAAGTCTCACGGATGACATGTGTCTATTTCAAGTTAAACATATTGGACAATAATGTGAGGAGAGACAAGTGATTCTTTATAATCTAGCTTATATAGACTCCTAAATTTGTTCTGCCCCAGACCAACTATGAGTATATTCTGATATACTCAGTAAGAAATTGCTTTTCAGTTGCCTATGTCTGTGAATGTCCAGTAAGTCATTAGTGACCAGAATAGACAGAAATTTCTGCTCTCATAGAACTCCTATTCCAGATTCTGATGGCGAATCATTTAGGGCGATGGGTTTATCGAAGCACACACTGCATAGGAACATTCAGTGACTATTGTTGACTACCCCAATGAAGGACCAAGTGTCCTGTGTGAACTGTTGCCTCCTGCATGACTTGCCCACACAATCTAACTGGAGATGAAAGTAGGATTATAGTAGAAAATCTGGAGCTGTCGTCTTGTGATTTGGACAATGTACGTGCTGTTGAACTGACCCCATTCCCTTTTCTAGGCACAAAGGACATCGTCCGGTGTTTTTCCTGTGGAGGATGTATGGAGAAGTGGGCGGAAGGGGATGACCCAATGGAAGATCACACCAAGTTTTTTCCCAAGTGAGCAAAATGACATCTCTCGATTGTGAACGTGCTTCAACTGTTATTTCCTCACTGTCCACGTCTTACCTGTGGATGGTCTCTGCCCACCCTTCTGTTCCCTCTGTGAAGGACACATCCTTATCTCTTTGTCCCTTGCCTCCCATGACGCCATCTGTGACCAGCTTTTTTCTCTTCATAGTTACATCTTGGTTTAGGTTGGGTCAATTTACAGACTCTTAAAGACAGGGTCTCTCTATATCCCAGATTGTCATAGAAATGGTATCTAGCCCAGATAGGACTTGAATCCATGATCCTCCTGCCTCAGCCACCCAAGTGCTGGCATTTCAGAGGGGCCACCATGTCTGGAATTTCCATGCCTTTCTGATTCTTTTGATTACCAACTAGTCTTCCTCTTCCCCTCCCTCTGGAATGCTTTACTGTTTTCTCTTTCTGCTGTCTGAGACGTCCCAAGTGCTGTTCTTTCTCCAGTGCTGGGGACGGAAGCACTGACTTGGGCATGCTAGGCAGTCCCTTTCTATTGAGTTACTCTCGCCCCCTTTTTTTTGCCCTTCTTCAAGGCTATTTTCATTTCTCTTCTACACACAAGACAACTCTAGAAATGTTCAACTGCAGAATGAAATTTGTTGTTTTTACTTAGTAATTAGAATCTTCAAAGATAAATATTAATATATGCAGATTGAAAAATGTGTATTTCTGAGCACAGTGGTCTCTACATGGAATCCTAGCTCTCTGAAACAAGAAGGAAGAAAACCAGTTTTCTTTTATATTAAATGCTTTAATATTAATCATCTTAAAATCAATCTATTTTAAAGTCTAGTACTTGTAATTAAGAAGTAAGGGACTTTTTCTATGATATCTGTTGGACGGTGTAAAAATCTGCAACAGTGTTGTTGCCTGCAATCTCTTTTCAGCTCTACAGAAGTGTTCTGTATGCATCCAATGCTTACCTAAAATTGTTGTAAACGGACGTAAGTCTAATTTCTGAACTTTAAAATTAAAGTTTTAAATGATTATCTGGTATTGAGGTAGAATGGTAATAGTATCCCAAATGATGAAAAATATTCTTTTAAAATGTCTTATTAGTGTACATTATTTATGTACAGTAATGACATTTTCATATATGTATGTTATGACCTTTGCATATATATGTATGTCTTAGGATTGTACTGCTGTGAACAGACACCAGGACCAAGGCAACTATTGTTAGGATCACATTTAATTGGGGCTGGCTTACAGGTTCAGAAGATCAGTCTAGTATCATCAAGGTGAGAGCATGACAGGGTTCAAGCAAGCATGAGGCTGAAAGAACAGAGAGTTTCACCTCATGTTCCGAAGGCAGCTTAGAGAAGACTGGCTTCCAGGTAGCTGGGACGAAGGTCTTAAAGTCCACACCCACAGTGAGCCACCTACTCCAACACGGGCACACCTCCTAATAGGGCTACTCTCTGGGCCAAGCATATACAAACCATCACAATGTATACATAATATGACATATATACATATATTACAGCCTATTACAATCATGTTCCCCACCATCCTCCCATTACCCTCTCTTATCTGCCTCTAGATGCCCTTGGTCCCTTTTCTTCCAAATCACGTTTCAGACTAGCCAAGGGCTACATAACAAGGCTTACCCTCAACATTCATAATACACGCATACATACATACACACATACATACATAAATACATACATACATAACTAAATAATGAAATATTTCCATTTTCAACCCTCCCTTTTAGTAGTAGTATGTAGGAAATTGTTGAGAACATAGGGACCTTCCACTTAATCCCTGGGATGATAAACTGGGAGGCAATCTAGTTGTATTTAAAACTTGGTCTAGAATCTTTCAATGGAGATTTGTTTTAATTACAAACCAGCATGCTGTTATGAGTAACTAATGCACTTACACATCTGGTTTAAAGGACAGTAACAATAAAGGGCCTATGAGGCCAGGCTATGGAAGTGGAAAGCTGCCACAGGAACCTCACAAGCAGTTCTTTGGCTAGTTCTCTCTGGCATCACCAGTAGTGGAACTCAGCAACGTTTTGTAAGGCAAACCAATACATGCAGTCTTTAGCAAAGAATAGCGAGATGGAGCAAACCAAGCCAATGCTCACTGTCATCTCCTGCTGTCTGTGGGGTCATATTTATATTCCTTTATCATGGTCCTTTCACATGTTTGCAATATCCAAACATTTTTTCTCCTGTGTCTGCTTCAGGAATACATTCCTTCAAGTGTTTGCTTTGGCAAGACATCCTTTCACCTGTGTGCCCCAGCAAAACATCATTTGACATTAACTGACTTTCCAAACAAACCAGAAGTTTCCACTTCACCCTGGTGATCTCCATGTCTCTGCTTCCACAGTGTTGGTTACTTTTTTTATTCTTTAAGCTCCTCTTAGCTGGGTTCATGAACAGACAATAACTCTGTCCTCATCCCAATGCATTCCCCGAATATTCTTACCATTACTTTGCAAACCACATTCATTATGTTATTGAAAGCCACAGACTGAATATTTACAGAGTGCAGCATTGACAGGATCACTGAAAATGTTAGCTTCTACTTCATTCGTGACCCTGAAAATTCATGTTTTCTGAAAAGCTAATGAAAACACTTAAGTACACAGAACTATTTTATAACTTTTCTCTCCTCTGCACAGCTGTGTATTTCTTCAAACCCTGAAGTCCTCTGCAGAAGTGAGTCCAGCCCTTCAGAGCCACTGTGCACTTCCAGAAGCCAAGGTAATGCACACTGCCCTCTTCTGACTCAGCAGCACATGATCGTGTGGCTGAACACTATTGTGAACAGCAGTTACCAATTGTAAATGTATCATACTTAAGGAAATTCTACAAGTATCTAAGGAGTGTTATCAAGTGTAGACAGGAACTTCACAGTGAATGAGGACAACCCAATCTCTAGCTCCATGATACATACAGTCTAGCCCTTCTCCTGTAAGAAGTCTATTGGTGAAATTCTTTCAGCTTTATTCCTGATAAACATCTAGGTTCCCTGGACCCCATCTGCAATCTCTGGAGGGCAGTGGGCTTGACTTCTTGCTTCTTTTGAGATGTGCAAGGCAAGTTTGATTTTGTTTGGTTGAAATTTTGTTTGGGACAGGTTCTCCCTGTGTAGCTCAGGCTGACTTTGAACTTGCTATGATCAAATTCCAGACTGTCTGGGAATTTGTAATCCTCCTGCTTCGACCTTCTAAATTCTGGGATTATGGGTGTGTACCACAATTCCTATTTGATTTTGTTCTTTACTGCAGTTGAGGAAATCAAACAAGGTCTTGTGCATGCTAGGCAAGGGATCCATGACTGAGCTACCTCCCTGGCCTGCAGGTATATGCCTTTAAGGAAAGCAAATGGACAGCAAAATCATGAACTCAGACAACAGTCTAAGCTGTACATGTTTATCTTATATATAATCTATCAGTCCATTGGTGACATAAGTCACCTCATATTGTCAAAATGATAGGATCATTATGCTGGATCTCATCCCACAGAACTGGGAACAAAGCTGGGCATGGGTCTCAAGCTGGCCCAGTTATCGCTTGGCTCCTCCCTCAATTTCTGCTCCATCTCTACCCCTGCACATGTGTATGCAGGACAAACTGTAGGTTGGAGGTTTTGTGGCTGGTTAGGTGTCCCAATCCCTCCATTGGATGTCTTGCCTGGTTACCAAAGGAGACCAGTTCAGACTCCATATCTCCCACTGCTAGGAGTCTTAGCTAGGGTACCCTCAGAGATTCTTGGGAGTTTCTGTTGCCCTTGATTCCATTGTCTCTAGCAAGACTGTCTTCCTCAGTCTTTCCCCCACTTGATCCCTCCTGTTCTGCTCCAACCCCTCCCTTGTCCATCCCCCTCCCCACTGGCCCACAATGTTTGTTATGTTTCCCTTCTCTTGTGATTCCCATGACCCCACTTGAGCTCTCCTTGATATTTAGTTTCTGTGGGTCTGTGGATTGTAGAAGGGTTACCTTTTCTTTATGGGTAATACTACATACCATGTTTGTCCTTCTGGGTCTGGATTACGTCACCCAGGATGATCTTTTCTAGTTCCTTCCATTTGCCTGAAAGTTTCTTTCTTCCTTCCTTCCTTCCTTCCTTCCTTCCTTCCTTCCTTCCTTCCTTCCTTCCTTTCTCTCTCTCTCTCTCTCTCTCTTTCTTTCTTTCTTTCTTTCTTTCTTTTTGTAAAAAATTTTTTATTGGATTTTGTTTTTACATTTCATATGTTATCCCCTTACCCCATCCCCCACCCACCCAGGAACCCCCTATCCCCTCACCCCTCCTCCTGCTTCTCTGCAGATGTACCCCTACCTACCCCCCACTCCCACCTCCCCACCTTCAATTTCCCACCCACTGGAGCGTCCAGCCTCCATGAGACCAAGTATCTCTTCTCCCACCTATGCCCGACAGGGCCCTCCACCCTTACATATACAGCTGAAGCCAAGGATCCCTCCCTAAGTGCTCCCAGGCTGGTGGTTTAGACCCTGGGAGCTGTGGTTGGTTGGTATTGCTGCTCTCCTCATGGGGCCGCAAACCCCTCAGCTCCAACAGTCTTCACTCTAACTCCTCCATTGAGAACCCCATGATCAGTTCAATGGCTAGCTGTGAGCATCTGCCTCTGAATATGTCAGACTCTTGCCTGCAAGTTTCTTGATGTCTTTGTTTTTAATAGCTGAGTAGTATTCCATTGTGTAAATGTACCACATTTTCTTTATCTGTTTTTCCATCGGGGGATAGCTAGGTTATTTCCAGTTTCTGGCTATTATGAATAAAGCTGCTTTGAACATGGTTGATCAAGCATCCTAATGACAGGATGGAGCATCTTTGGGCATATGCCTAGGAGTGGTATAGCTGGGTCTTGAAGTAGATCTATTTCTAATTTTCTGAGAAACTGTCAAATTGATTTTCCAAGTGAATGTACAAGTTTGCATTCACACTAGTAATGGCAAAGTACTCCCCCTTTTTCCATATCCTCACAAGCATGACCTGTAACTTGAATTTTTGATCTCAAGAGGTTGAATCTCAGAGTTGTCTTAATTTGCATTTCCCTGATATCTAAGAATATTGAACATTTCCTTAAGTGCTTCCATACCTCTAGAGATTTCTCTGTTGAAATTTCTCTGTACTCCCTTTTTAAATTGATTGATTTGGTTTGTTGGTGTCTAGTTTCCTGAGTTGTTTATATATTTTAGATACTAGCTTTTTTTTTCAAATGTGGATTTGACATTGTAAGTGCAGAGGATGATGCTAAGCCACTAGACATTCCCCTAATAGACACAAGCTCTTCAGCTCTGAATAAAACTAGGTGTGGCTAGATGTTTGGAGTCCCAGAAAAGAAAAAAAAAGAAGGGTACTAAAGCCAGGGGTGTGTGGAGGCTCATTTCAGTTGGGAAAGGGAGAGAGGAGGATGAAGTGTTACCCTTGGCTACATAGGGATTTCTAGACCAGCCTACACTACATGATACTCTCTCTCTTAAAAAGTGTGTGTAATAATCCTTCTGCATCTATCCCAGTGTCCGACTTAAACATGTAAGGAGACTTAAACTAATGACTAAGGGTAGAGGCAGTGTTTAATGGTCTTTCAGGACTATTCTTGTTCTATATGCTACAATTTTGAATACTCACATAGTGCTCCCCACAGAGAGGACACATATACAGGGCATGTACTATCTAGGTACACACTCTTGCAGATGTGTGAGGTTAACTCTTTAATGTGTGGATCACTCTTGCTTCAATCAGCATCGAGTATAGGCTGTTTTGAGAAGATGTTGGTCCTCAATGATAATATAGTGCCCGATCTTGATTTAAGACCCAGTTTTGATGTAATAAAGGATTTATCTTTTAAAGGAAACCACAAGTGAAAGCAACCATGAGGATCCAGTAGCAGTTCATTCTACTGTGGCGGGTAAGAACTGGAAAGGAGAGTGGGATTATGGGTTTATGTACATAGGATTTGAAAGGAAAGAGTATAATTGTCGAGGCAGATACTAGAGAGGAGAGCATTGAGATGAAGGGAACTGTGGATGAGAGAGTGAGCATCCCTGTGGCTTCCTGTGAGTGAATGCAGGACTAATAACAGAGTCCTTGTGTCAGATCCAAACCAGCCAACATTAAAGGAACCGCACAGCAAGCTGGTCTCTTGAGGGCCTAGATAAGAAACTAGGGTGACATAGTATTCTTAAGAATATTGCTAGACCCTCAACCTAGAACTGACCTTAATACATGCATGTAATCAAAATGTTATAAAAGCATAAAGTAGGAGGGGGGATGGGATGGGGGTTCTAGGGAGGGGAAATGGGGAAAGGGGATGACATCTGTATTGTAAATAAATAAAATATCCAATAAAAAAGAAACAAAAAAAGAAACAAAAAAAACTATAACTGGAAACTTTATTTTATTTTGATAGTTGGCAACGGGAAAAGTTAATAGTTCAAATTAAGCAAAGCACACTATGAGCTCCGGGTAAATTAATAAAACTGGATCATGATGACATCACTGTAGCTTATGAGATGGGAGACACTGTATGATGTCAAGTTTTAGCAACTCCCAATTAGTGGTGTTTTTTTAACAAGACCTTTCTATGTAAGCTGAGATTGTGAGAATAAGGCATATCTAAAGTGAGGCTGTCTCCTGAGAACCAGAAGTATAAGATCCACCAATAAGATTTCTATTGGCTCAAGCCAAGAGAGTGATTAAAAAAAAGAATACTGCCTAATCCCCCAGGTCAAGGACTAGGTTTGGACATCATTCTAATGGTGTGGAAAGGTCTGGGAGGACCTCAAAGTGGAGGTCATGGACACTGGAGGAAAAGCCATCCATAGTTGAGAGGCAGGACAATGTAGCATAGCCTAAAAGTTGAGAGGTTTAAACGCATTTCCCACTTGGTGTCCCACCCCTAGCAGATGTTGCTCCAAGTGAAGCCCAGGAGCTTGATCCTGCATCTAGCTTTGTGTCTGTTCTCTGTAGAGATCAGGATCAGAGTGAGGCTCAAGGACTTGGATATGCATCCAATGAGGCCTATCTTCCCTCCACAGACTTGTCTCCAAGCGAAGCTCAGTGGTTTCAAGAGGCCAGGAGTCTGAGTGAGCAGCTGAGAGGCGCCTACACAAAAGCCACTTTCCGCCACATGAACCTGCCAGAGGTGTGTTCGAGCCTCGGCACTGACCACTTGCTCAGCTGCGATGTGTCCATCATTTCAAAGCACATCAGCCGGCCAGTGCAAGGGGCCATGACCATCCCCGAGGTCTTCACCAATCTCAGCTCTGTCACGTGTGTGGAAGGGGAAACTGGCAGTGGAAAGACAACCTTCCTGAAGAGAATAGCTTTTCTCTGGGCATCAGGATGCTGTCCCCTGTTGAACAGGTTCCAGCTGGTCTTCTACCTCTCCCTTAGTTCTATCAGACCAGACCAGGAACTGGCCAACATCATCTGTGGCCAACTCTTAGAGGCAGGAGGAAGCATTAGTGAAGTGTGCCTGAGCAGCAGCATCCAGCAGTTACAACACCAGGTGCTGTTCCTGTTGGATGACTTCAGAGGGCTGACCTCACTCCCCCAAGCCCTGGACACACTGATTACAAAGAACTACTTGTCACGGACCTGCTTATTGATTGCTGTGCATACAAACAGGGTCAGGGACATCCGCCCATACCTAGATACAAGTCTGGAGATCAAAGAGTTTCCCTTCTATAATACTATCTCTGTGTTACGAAAAATTTTCTCCCATAATATAACACGTCTGCTAGAGTTTATGATTTATTTTGGAATGAATGAAGATTTACAGGGAATCCACAAGACTCCCCTCTTTGTGGCAGCAGTCTGTACTGAGTGGATTCAAAATCCATCTGACCAGCCCTTTCAGGATGTGACACTTTTCAAGTCCTACATGCAATACCTGTCCTTAAAGCACAAAGTGACAGCTGAGCCTTTCCAGGCCACTGTGTCCTCATGTGGGCAGCTGGCCTTGACAGGGCTTTTCTCTTTGTGCTTTGAGTTCAACAGTGATGACCTGGCAGAGGCAGGAGTTGATGAAGACGAGGAGCTCACCACCTACTTCATGAGCAAATTCACTGCCCAGAGACTGAGACCCGTTTACCGGTTTTTAAGTCCTCTGTTCCAAGAGTTTCTTGCTGCCGTGAGGCTGACTGAACTCCTGGGTTCAGATAGGCAGGAAGACCAAAGCCTGGGACTCTATTATTTGAGGCAAATTAACTCACCCTTGAAGGCTATGACCACCTACAACAATTTTTTGAAGTATATCTCCAGACATCCTTCATCAAAGGCAGGACCACCGGTTGTATCTCATTTGCTTCAGTTGGTGGATAAGAAAGACTTGCTGGATACCATGTCTGAAATTGAGGAATATGTAAATAACCCTCCAGAAACTTCCCGGATAACACAGGCAATTAAGGAACTGTGGCAGGTATCTCCTGAATCTTTCTCTTCATTAGTTTCAGAAAAATTATTGAGCATTGCTCTATACTTTGCTTATGAAAGCAACACGGTTGATGGATGCTCTCCATTGATTTTGCAATTCCTTCGAGGGAGAACACTGGCTTTGAAAGTACTGAATTTACAGTACTTTTGGGACCACCCAGAAAGCCTGTTGCTTTTGAAAAGTATAGAAGTCTCCATAAATGGAAATAAAATGCCAACTGCTGTAGATTACTCAGTCATGGAAAAATGTTATGAAACATTACAGCCACCAACTATAGATCAAGACTATGCACCTGCCTTTGAAAAAATGAAGGAATGGGCAAAAAATTTGTCTAAAAATGAAGAGAACATAAGGAGTTTTATGAAAAACCAACCCCTGGATCCACCCAAAGTAAGCTCTGGCTATTGGAAACTGTCCCCCAAGCCGTACAAGATTCCTAGACTGGAAGTTGGCGTGGCCTACATGGGTCCAGCAGACCAAGCTCTGCTCCAGGTCCTAATGGAAGTCTTCTCAGCTTCAGAGAGTATTGAGTTCCATTTATTCAACAGCAGTGGCTTTCTTGAAAGTGTCCGCCCAGCTCTGGAGCTGAATAAGACCTCTGTCACCAAGTGCTCCATGTCCAAGATGGAGCTCAGCAGAGCAGAACAGGAGCTGCTTCTCAGCCTGCCTGCCCTGCAGTCTCTTGAGGTCTCAGGGACAAACCAGTTACCAGGTATCATTTTATTTTCAAAATCTGGATTTCCTTCTTTATTCTATTAGATTTATACTGTGAGCTTTGGATTAGGCCTAGAGGTGGGTTATGGCTCAGATGAACATAGTGAGCCTGAGCTGGTATGAAAAGTGTACATTCTGGTATAAGCTTTGTGTTGGGGGGTTATTATTATTATTTTGGTTTTTCGAGACAGGGTTTCTCTGTGTAGCCCTGGCTGTCCTGGAACTCACTTTGTAGACCAGGCTGGCCTCGAACTCAGAAACCTCCCTCTTCCTTCCAAGTGCTAGGATTAAAGGTGTGCGCAACCACCACCTGGCTGAGTTGTGGGGTTATAATATGGGGATTGTTGCAGTGGTTGTCAAATGGAGAATATCAGTCAAACTTGCCCAGAAGGGCCTGGAGAAGGATGAGTAGGACCTGGATGTATAGAGAGGTTTCATTTGCTGTGAGAGTATTCTGAAGGTTTGGGCAGGTGGGGAGGCAGGGTAGATCATGGAGAAGCTTACTGGTAGGTAGTGACACAGGCAGAGGAGGCTAGACTAGGACCAGGCATTGGATGTGGGACCAAGGCTAGATCTAGGGGCCTGGGGATGGGTGAGTAAATGGGCAGATGGCAGACTTATCTGGAAAGACCTTGGAAGGGGATATGCAGGTTTGCAGGAGAGGTTCTGAGTTACATTTTTATATAAGTCTGAGGTAGGAGTTGAAATATATCCTTTTGCATGTGCAAAACCAGTTGTTTTCAGTTGCCATGCTGTTGGTTGTGGAGATGTCTTATTTACTTTTGTGAGTCTAGAGACCAGCATAGTGCTTCCTCTACAGCCTCTGATCAGCAGATGCTGCAACCGGCAGTATCTTCATGGATGTGTTTCCTAAACAGATGTTAGGATATCTGAGGTGTTTCATCTGGGAAGTATGACTATGGCTGAAGATCACAGCACCTTGAGAACTTGCACTTGGGGCTCTTGGGTGATGGGAACTGTGTGCTACTTTCCAGATCAGCTCTTCCCTAACTTGGACAAGTTCCTGGGCCTGAAAGAACTGTGTGTGAGACTAGATGGCAAACAGGATGTGCTCTCAGTGCTTCCTGGAGAGTTCCCAAGCCTCCCTCACATGGAGAAGTTATCCATCCAAACCTCCACGAAGTCTGACCTCTCCAAACTAGGTAAGGATGGTGCTTGAATCCCCAGTTTGACTGTCAGCTGGAAAAGCTACTTGGCTAGTAATTGTTAGAACCAATAAATCACCCCTGGGGACTAACAGCATAAACTGTGTACATGGGAAGGAGTGGGATAAGTGCACTTAAGACTTAAGAAGGCAGAGATTTATTTGTAACCCAAGTCTTTAACATGCCAGGAACTGTTGTGAGTACTTTATGGAGACTAGCTCTCTCCTCATACCCACTGTGTGAGAGAAGGCGTAAGAATTATTGCTGATTGTCAACTGGGGAAACTGAGTTCATCGACTGCTTAGGTCTATCCAGCTATGAAAATGTATCTTGAAACAGAAGATCTGACTGCACAGCCTGAGCTGTCCACTCCTAACCCTTCCTCTTCACAGCAGTGTGAGGAATTCTCTTCTTGTTCTGCTGATTTAATCCCACATGCAGATCTGCCTGCTCAGGGAGAAGGAATCTGCCTGGGAGCAGTGGAAGTATGGCAGCTCCGAAGGGAAAAGCTTCCCCTACAAAAGTTCTGCTCCAGCAGCCTGGAAATTTCCCCAATGCAAGTGTTGCAGCTGTGCTTCTTTGGGGGAAGTTTCCCCAGAGAAAACGTTGCTCAGGCAAAAGTGTTACAGCTCTGCTCTGAAAGGCATCCTGGCGATCTGGAGCCAAGAAATACCACAAAGTCACAGGTCACAACAAACCTCACACAAGAGATTTATTGAGAGGGAAAACCCCATGAGAGTGGCTGGCTCTACTCAGATGAGAAGCATTGGAGAACTGGGCAGAACAGAGTAAATATAGCATTTTTTGGTGGTAGGGGAGACTGAACTTTTCAAGGAGGCTGGGGATTGGAGGGATTGTGTGGCCTGATCACTGGGCCAAGCTCAGGGATTGGTACATTTCTTTTCTTTTAGGCGTGGCCTGGCCATTTTTCTGCCTTGAGGGTTTACAAAGTTTACAAAACTAGTCCATGGCTTTTGAGTTGGCATGAATAGCTAAGCAATAGCTAGAGCTTTCTATCCTTTCTTCTCCAACCCAGTCTCAGGTTGACAAACAGCTGTGTAGCAAACTTCAAAAAACATGTATTTAGCAAAATAACTAAACACCATCAGTTCCTTAATTTTAAAAAACACTGAACACTGAAGAAATGTAAACCTGGAACAGTATGGAAGATTGCATGCCAAAAAGTTACTAGAGAGGGGTATGGTGGCTAATACTTGTAATCCCCTAATTTGAGAGGTTTAGACAGGAGGACTGTCACAACATCAAAGCCAGCCTGGCTCTGAAAATGTAGTTATTTCCAGGCTAGTCTGAGATACAGTATGAGACCCTGCCTGAAAAGAAACAAAGGCAAGGAAACAAAAATATTTTGTAGATAGGTGAAATGGATCACCAGGTAAAAGTACTTACCAAGCCTGACAATTCCACTGCCACAGATCTATATGGTTGAAGGAAATAGCAAGTTCTCCCAATTTGCCCCTCACCCTCCATATGTGTTGTGACATATGGATAATCCCCCCCCCCCACACACACCATGCACATAGACAAAATAAGTTTACACATTTTTTATTGTGATTCAGAGTTGTCCTTCCTTTTATGTTACTCTGCCCAGAATTCCCAATGTGTCTGTCTAGTTTAAGAGTCCTTGTTATTCCATTTTTTTTCTCCACTCAGAAACTAGGCCATAAACCATTTTCTATCCATCCTAAGTGTAAGGTATTTTGCTTCTGGAGCTGATCTGCCTGCCTGGTTTGCTCTGAGACAATAAGCTGCTGTCTCCTGTTTAGCATCTCATAGTAAAACAGCAGGAGGCTAGGTAAAGCAGCTTTTGTTCTATCTCAGCAGGGGCTTCAGCAGCTTTAAGTCTCAGGAAGAAAGGAGGAGGGAGGCCTGTCTCTTCTTTCAGAGCTAGTAAGACTTCCAGAGTGCTTGATCACATGTTATGAACATTCACTAAAAGTTTGTACATAAATTCAAGTCATAAATTTAATAAGAAGGTTTATAACAAAAAATGTGTACATGCATACCCACTAGGAGTAATTATATGGCTAAACATTCATCAATTGTTCCTAGCTTACAGGTTCATAGAAAATTAAAAATCGTAACTAAGCTGTCTTTAAAGTTTTTTTTATAGATAAACCAAGTCCACATTTTATCTCCTATCTTTGCACCTGTGGTATATATCTTCTTATGACCTTTGGCTAATGGTATTTATAATCCCTTGGAATATACTCTAAATTTTATAAGTCTGTTATCTCAGAAGATGTTAAGCAGTTCTTTTATTAAGGAGTTTGAATACCTTTGTCTGCAATGCCATTCTGAAAGCATGGTGACCCTAGCATACTAGTAGTTTCTGTAGAATAATTGCTCTTTGTTTTTGCATACTGAGTCTGGAGACTTCATTCAGTGATTTTAGAACTCTTATCCAGTGTGCACAGAGTTGTTACAATGCTGACACTGAAGGTGAAATACAGGAATAGAAATCTGATTCAGAGAGGGCCAGAAACTTGTCCTAGGTCATCTGCTCACTAGTCAGTTGCAGAAACCGAGCACAAGCCCAATGTAGTCTCACATCTAGATACTGCATCACTGACTGTTTAATCAGTATGGCTGCATCTCATGGATTGAGGAACTTTGACAGGAATTTGTGGCCATCTCTAATTTCTGAACATCCTTAATCTTTTCCAGTTAAATTGATTCAGAATTCTCCAAATCTCCATGTTTTCCATCTGAAATGTGATTTCCTTTTGAATTGTGATTCTCTTATGGCTGTGCTTGCTTCCTGCAAGAAACTCAGAGAGATCGAATTTTCTGGACAATGCTTTAAAGCCATGCCCTTTGGTAAGAACTCTACACCTTTGACTTCAGATTCTCCTGTGCACAGTCATTAAATACTTGAGAATCAAATGCCACTGATGTTATGGGAACTGTGAGAACACCTGATCCTCAGTGAGGCTCTCACAAGAATGAATGAGGTACAGTTAGTAAACTACAGTTTACACATAAAGTAAGAGGCTCTCACAAGAATGAATGAGCTACAGTTAGTAAACTACAGTTTACACATAAAGTACAGTTTATATGTTTCATTTGCAGAGTCATGTCCTTTACTTAGTCATAGTGATTCACTAAGTCAATATTATAACATGTTTTACCATTTTTGATATTCTCTGTGTCATAGGAATGTATCTGAACTAATTCAATTTTATTTTCCCTTTCCTAGTCAACATTTTGACAAATTTTGTTTCTCTGAAGATACTGAATCTTAAAGATCAACATTTCCCAGATAAAGAAACATCAGAAAAGTTTGGTAAGTTTATAAAACAGTGTTTCTTAATTTAAACTTTTTCCTCCTTCCCTCCCCCATCCTTCTCCTGTAAACCTACAACAAAGCAAGCTGTGTACAGTTCTCCCTTGACATCTATGACAGTTGAGTCTAGGGCCTGCTGCTATTGTAACCATTAGAAGATCCTTTATGATATAAAATGGTTCAGTAAAGTTTGCCTCTGACCCCACACATCTGCCATATACTTTAACCTGTCTCTTTATTGCCTACAATGCCTAATGTAATGTACATGTTATGTAAACAAGTGCTACACTGTGTTTAAAAATGGAGCCTATGGTTGGTGGAATGTGCCCAAACAGAGGGTCATGCACTTAAGTTCAATATTCAGAAATGATTATGAAACCCACTGCGATGTTGCACACCTTTAATCCCTGATCTCCATAGGAAGAGGCAATAGAATCTCTGAGTTTGAGGCCAGCATAGTGTACAAATAAAGCTCAAGAAATGCCATGGCTAACCAGGAATCCCCATCTCCAAAGACCAAAGCACATGAAAAAAAAAAAGGGAGATAGAAAGAAGAAAAAGAAAAAAAGGGAAGGAATGATTGTAAAAATAATGAGTTTCCTGGGAAGCACTATCAAGTTAAAAACAGTGAGGAGACAATGGCAGTATAGGGTGCAGAGTGGCATCTCCACAGTTTTTCTCAGAGTGTACAGTGCATAAGGAGATCTGGACTTTCTCCTTGTTTCTTTCTCTTGTCTTTATACTACGACTCCTGTGTGTGTGTGTGTGTGTGTGTGTGTGTGTGTGTGTGTGTGTGTGTGAATCAGAGGACAACAGGTGGAAATCAGCTCCCTTTTTTCCATGTGGACTTCTGGAATCTAACTCAGGTCCTCAGGCATGGCTGCGGATGCCTTTACCCCTGAGCTGTCTCACCTGCTCTGACCTATAAACACAGAGAGTTCCAAATATGTTTATAGTCCTGCAAATCTCTAGCCACACAGACACAAGTTCCTCAGTGCAATCACCTGAGAGTCTAGAAAGCATGTTGGTGGTAATGAACACAAGTGCTCAGATGTTCATGCTTATTAAGTTTGGAAACAGTTTTCTATACATACAACTGGTGTGATTTCTTTGAGTGAGAAGTAGGTCATTCATGAAAGATGACCTAAAGGCTGAGATTGACAACACATGCCTATGATCGTGGGAGGATGAGGCAGGAGGATGGACTTCTAGCCATTCTGACTATGGGCTGAGACTATCTCAAAACTGCCAAGACAAACAGGCCAACCAGTTAACTCAATTTAACGGCACCTTTGTGCATACTAATATAACCACTGTCGACTGTTCTTACTGAGGTTGATTTTATATCTGACTTGCTGGTTTGAACAGATGTGGCAAGAACAAGATCCAGAGCTGAGTTCTCATGATTGGCACAGTAGAGCTGTCAGCACCAGGGTTTTCTTTGCTTTCAGATGAGTGAGAAGGCAAAAAACAAGATTCTGTCTCTCTGTCTCTCTCTGTCTCTCTCTCTCTGTCTCTGTCTCTGTCTCTCTCTCTGTCTCTCTCTCTCTGTCTCTGTCTCTGTCTCTCTCTCTCTCTCTCTCTCTCTCTCTCTCTCTCTCTCTCTCTCTCT